GGCACAAAAAAAAAAGGGCGGAGGGGTGGGGGGGGGGAATTTTCTAATACACCCAGGGTCAAAAGAGGTCAAAACTAGCTTGGGCTGCCTCTTTAATAACAGCCTTCAGAAAACAAGAAGCCAACAGATGTTCAGTTTGAGGGAAAATTATATCTGTTGCATAGACCGCATGTGTTTATGTGCTTGTTGTTGTGTTCATGCTTCCTTCCAGTAAAGGCAACCGGAAGGTGTCTGTGGTGCGAAAGCGTGTTTTCTCTCTTCTCTGATTACTGCCGTCCTGGCATCTGACGCCCAGTAATGGAGACGTGGCTGTCAAGGAAATTTGTAGCTGTCTGCTGATAGCACTGCTCTTCATTCCAATCAACAGCTGTCAAGCCAGCCAGGGTCGTTATTAATGACAGCCACTAACTGCCTCACAAATTCTCGACACTATTTGAGAGGCGGCGTGAAATAAGGTTACGCTCGCCTCGTGTGCTGCAGGGGGGTTTGTTGCCTTCATCTCAGATATCAAAAAGCTCCTCTTCAAAAGCTCCTCTCTGGAGTTTGGGATTTTTAGAACAATGATTTGAAAGAATGGTCATTGGGAAAAAGAGCTCGACAGAAACTTAACATGAAACGAATTGATGGGCCACCAACCACTTAGGGAAGGCTCCATACCAGGAAAAAACACGACTCACTTTGACTTTCACTGATGCCCCCCCCCCACCACACACACACACACACACACACACACACACACACACACACACACACACACACACACACACACACACACACTTCCAATTTGTATTTCAACTGCGCTGCTGTCTAGTTTAGTAGATCACATGTTGCGTCCAATCATTTGTACCCTTCAACCTATCCCATCACATTTTGATTATTAGAGATGGCCATACTAATTGATAATGACTAATTGTTCAGGATTGTGTTGGCTGCACGCAACTGATCTTTGACTAACCGCATCTTGAGGTCATCAAGGCAAACTGGAGTGGTTCTGTTGATTCAGTGTCAATGTCGGCGCGGTTCAGAGAAAAACGTTGAGCTACATCCACATCTCAATAACAGACTTTAATCATAATAATAATAATACATTTTATTTATAAGCGCCTTTCAAAACACTCAAGCACACCTTACAATCAAAACAAGAACAATAAAACCACAGATAAAATTATAAATAATAAAAGAAGAGATTAATTTAAACTGAGTATGCGATTTCATTCAACCAGGAGTTCAAACTTAAGAACATTCATATAAAATGTTCCTGTTCCTGTCCTATAAATAACTGATCGAAAAAATAATTGTCAAATCCCTAACCTGACTCATTTCTATGGCAACCGGTGAAAGGGCAAAAATCTGACAAATGCTCACCATGAAGAGAACAGCACTCGAATGACTTATACTGCACCTAACACTTTCACAAAGAAAGCAATGCACCTGCGTTCAATAAAAATGTGAAACTTCTTCACCTAGGCAACAGCTGCTGGATTTGCTGGGACCCGTTTTGCCTGAATACAAAATCACAGCCACAGGTTGCCAGTTGACAGGATGACATCATAAAATTGTAATTGCCTCCTCAAGGCATTGAAGCAACCAGGGCAGAAAGGGCGTTTGTCAGCTGTTAAACTTGGGGACACGAACGCCACGAGCAAGAAAACAGCCAACAGCCGCTCGCTCCTGAAATGCTTTGCCGCCACTCTGCGGGTGAACGGAGCAGTGGCTGAGGGCGAGTCGGGGTTGACACCCAGAAGGTGACACCCCTTCCGAACTGCCTGCCAGGCAAAGCAGCGCAGCGGCCACGTTGGTTAAGCCTGCTGCACCCTGCTTGGCTCTGCGCTCCAGGCCAAACAGCGCGGTGGGGCGCCGCCCAGAAACAAACAAAGAATTCCACCACAAGCTACTCATCTCTCTATCTATAATATGTGGCTGAGTTGGCTCACACGGATTTCCTCCTATCTTTCATCTGCCAGATTACTGATCCGCCCTTTTAGGTTGATGAGTTGCTCCACAAAGAAGATTGATGCTGTTGGCTGTTATGGTCCTTGTGTTAAAAAAAAAAAAAAAAAAGGAGGGAAAATTCCTATTCTGTGACAACAAGCAATTACGTCCTAAAGAGGTGTAAGAAGCTTCTGGATTATCCTTGTCAGAGGTCAGATCAAGAGCAGCGTGCCTGCTATTTGTGAGTTGCAATAGAAGTAAAGACAGATTTTAGGCGTTTTATAATAAGTGTGTAATCCTTACCTAAGAAAACTTGAGCCTCAGAGGTGTAGGTGTTGTCAGGCCTCGTAGGACCGCTCCTTGCATCCCTCCCCGGTGCGCCAAAGAATGCTCACACCTGCAGCATTTTACCTCGGCGCGGTCTTGTGGGAAGCCACCTCCTGCAAGCACATGCGGATCACTTAGGAGATTTTGTGCCAATGTTTTGGCAGCTATCCGAAAAATGAAAGAGCAAAAAAAAAAAAAAAAAACGGCGATAGTAATAATGATGATTGTCTGTTACATGAAGTGGTGGCGCCATTCAGCCTTGTGGGTGTGTGCGTGTGCTTCATTAAGACCTGTTCTGCCTTTAGTGTCAAGCCACATTCCGCGACATGCTAAGCTGTTCGAGGCTGAGTGGCGGCATGGGAAGGCGGATGTCAATCAACAAACGCAACCAAAGAGTACATGGATGTGATTGATGTACATTGAGCCTGTTTGGTTTGTTTATGAGTTTTGTGAGATTAGAAGCTCATTTTGTAATCATCAGTAAATGTCAGGACCTGGAAAAAAAATATATAAGCACTGCCACATACTTTTGCCATCTGTGCACAAGCTTCCATATTCCCTCAGTGTAAAAATCTTTGTTCTGATGTCTCAGCTCAACACTTTTGACTTCATTGTCACTTTCAAACTTCATACCGCTTAATACATTACATTCATGTATTAAGGAGAACAAAAAAATCTAATTTGCATTCCAATGTTTTTTTTAACAAAACTATTCCAACATCGCATGTCCAGTGGAATAAACCAAGTAAAACATTTCAATCCTTTAATTGAGGTGGAGCATCAGTTTTTCAGGTGCCGTTTTAAATTAGTCGTGTAAAATGCAGCGCAATCCTTTGCACCACGCAAGATGTTCCATTTGCACACATTTCAAGTCACTGTTGCACTGTCTCTGCTTTCCACATTAAAATATTTCCATACTGTCGACGGCATAACTGTTCCATGACGCTAGTTTAACATTAGCTTCCTGCGACAACTACCGGACTGTTACCCCACTGGCTGTGTTTACTTGAGCTGTTTCCTGAACAGGACATCCCTAATATACACACACTGTATGTGCACAAGCACTTGGCGGAGGAGGCAAGGAAAAACTGCCTCTAAGCAAGAAACCTCAAACAGAACCCGGGCACTGTAGGCGAAGTGTCTGCCTCGATTGGTTGGTTTGAGATGGAGAAACAGAGGCTCCATCGAGAAATACAGACCGAAAACAGGATTGAGGGGTTGAGCAGCCGAGAGGAGGGACGAGAGAACAATGAGCACAACAAAAGAGGAGACAATATTAGCAGTCCTACTGAAGGCTTTATTGCTCGTTGACTCGCATGCGTAACCCGCGTTGCGTAAAGTCGTGAAAGGTTCGCAAACGAAGCCACCCAACTAGTTCGGCACATGCGCCCGGCGTTAAAAGATGAGCCTTCAAAGTTTTTTGAAAATAAAAAATAAAAAATAAAATTCTACGCTGGTTCAAGATGTGTATAATATTTACGTGAAACTGGTTCATGGTCCAAAACATGGGTTGAGGGCTTTTGCTATACATACTGCTCTTTTCCTGTCAAAGGGTGTTGAAAATAGTCCTTCAATTGTTGTGTTTGACACAAAGTGTCAGGGACATAATTATTTCGCATCAGTGGAGGGTAATGAGTATAAAAGTGGCTGACTGAAGCGTTCATATTCAGATTTGAAAGCATACCTTTGGGCGTTTGTACAAGTCAACCAAAGTTGAAGTCGGTTGGACAGTTTTCTCATCAATCTTTCTTCACACATGAGCCAAGCTAAGCGAAGGTGCCAAGTTAGGTGACATTTATGGGTAGTTTTGATACACCAACAGCTGTCTCCGCTAACCCACAATTTGAGCCTCATCACTTTCACTCCAAGCCATCTATAACAACCTCACGGTGGCACTTCAGTAATGAGCGGCATCCCTATAATTAAGATTCACATCCAGGAGCCATATCTGATTACATTTACTTATATACTGTAGCGCCATTATTTTGGGATCGAAAGTGCATTCAAGGGATCGTCTAGGAAAAATAAGTGATCGTGCACATGTTTTCACTGAGGGTATGCATGAGTACCAACACAAAAATGTTGGCACTGTTCGTCGTTTTGGAGCCTATGAATCGGATTACAGTGGTACCTCTACTTACGAACGTCTCTTCATACGAAATTTTCAAGTTACGAAACGTCTCAACGGGAAAATATTGCCTCTTGTTGTGAAAGAAATTTCAAGATACGAAAGGTAAAAATATAGTATGGGCCGGGACTCGTAGCTCAGAATTTCTTGAATGCAGCATTATTATAGCTGCTCTGCCATTGGCTATTACCGAGCATCATCCTGGCATCCCATTGGCTAAGAGAGATCTCTACCGTATCGGGCGTTCTGATACTTTTACATAAATGTGAATCCCCAGAAAAAGGGTTCACCCGTCGGGTGATCGCTCATTCTGCTGATGTTTTCCTTGGACATTTTCGAAGGATTGTTAAAAGCCGACAAAAGCAGACGTCCTTCGCTCAGTTCTTTACAAAACACCAGGCAAAAACCACTTCTTAGAGAGACTTAAAAGGGCAAAAAAACGACGAAGACGCAGTTCAAAGTTAAATGACCATCATTTTTATCCTTTACTCTCTTTGCTGTTTTTTTTTTTTTACATGATGCACAACTTTCATTTATTGTGCCAAAATCTAATTGTAACATGTATTTGGTACATATTTTGATGCACTTTTATGCTTTAGTAAACATTTATGTCTGAATTTTGGGGGGGCTTGGAACGAATTAGGGCATTTATATGGAAAACGTGTCTCTCCTTACAAACTTTTCCAGTTAAGAAATTTCTGCCAGAACCAATTAATTTCATAAGTAGATGTACCACTGTACTTATGAATCCAATTCTAAACCATACATACACAGGTGAAACATATTTAGAAATAAGTCAATGCGATACTATATTCTGATAAGAACATGTTGCAATGTCAGCCAAGGTCAATGGAGATTTTGTTGACCAGATAGCACGTCGTGCTTTGATGCACACGTTCTGTATTGTGCCTCTTAGAAATGTTAACACTGGAGAAACAGCACAGATATGGAAGCTCGTCATTGACGCCGAAATGTCAAAATGTGAGCAAGAACTGGATTCACACGCTCAGGTGGACTGGTTTCTTGACAAGCAAGCAATAAATGTGGCGTGCGCATGGCAAGACTCTCCACATCTATGCGGACATTGTTGCGCGCACCCCCCGGAATCACACCGCTGGCATGTGATCACGAGTATTTATTGCTGGGATTTTAATTCACGTCACATTCCCCCCCAAAAAATGAAAACATTCAGATAATATAATTGTCTCCCTCAGAAGAAATTGCATTCGTGCTGTAACGTGTGCCGCATTTACATGGTCAACATCATCATCCTCGCATGGCGCTTGTTCTTACATACCGAGTTCCTGCCAACCCTGCTTAGTTCATTTCATTAGACAGGGGAATTCCCTGATGTAGAATTCTTGCATTTCCCAAAAATCAAACAGAGTAACTCTTAGAAATAATGGAAATAACCGGCCTTAGGATATGTGAGGCTCAGTGAATTTAAATGATGTCGGTTTTACCACGAACCATTTTTCACAGGAACTTTTGTTGCAAGTGTGTTTCTGATGAAAGGATGGTTAAAAAAAAAAAACAACAAAAAAAAAACACGTTTTCGTTGGATGAGCAAATCTTGAGTCTAATACGCTTTGTTTTTGTTTAAACATCTAACCGTCTTGATTACAGAGCCGATGCGGTTTTAAGTATTATCAATTAGCTTGAAAACAGCAAGGCTGTCAGATTTTGCCTCGGCCATTTCGCCGAAGCAATTGTCGCCGCCGACGCCGTACATCATACACAACTGCCTTCTGGATTTTGTATAAACAGCAGTGAATTGTCCTGACAGACTCGCTGAGTTCTCTTCAGAGCAATTGTAAGCAACACCGGGAGCCGTTCCATCCATCCAGCCTTTGCAGGCGTACGAATGGCAAACCTCGCTTTTCTCCAATTCAAACATGATGAAGAGCGATATAGTCACACGACATTACAAGTTCACTTTTCACGTGTTGCGCCTGCCACCGAGCCCGACGTGCCTGGTCAACCACAAGCTCCATTATTCACGCACGCTCTGTGAACTAAACACTCGCTGGGTTTCATCTGTGGGAATACGAAAAATATCAAATTGTTGAATTTGCTCGCTCACTCTTATATCAGATTATTCGTCATTCAGCAGACACAAAATGAGAAATGATTTTGTCCTTCATTTGCTGTACCTCATTTTTACTTGGCTTGTATTCCTTTAAACAGAAACTTTTTTTTTTTGCACCCACAGTTTCCTGATATCTGGGTCGTCATATGTTTTAGTTTATAGAAGTCTAACTTTCACCTTTGGTGCTCTCTTCCAGTTAGATATAAATTACGATATTTAAACTGGCAAAATGAAAATAGCGAGATGTCATGTATAAAGTATCGGGACATTTGGCCATTGGAATTGAAATTGGAAGAAAACATTGAGTTGGTTGCGGCGTCAACTCTTCTGGAGATACTTTATATTGTGTTTTGAATGGCGTTGATGTCCATATTTCATTTCATTCATTTATAAAGACAAATAGTCTTTATAAATTAGTAATTACTTAATAATAAAAGGAATTGAGCAACTGTATGTAGTAGGATCTTGGAATTACAGGCTTTGGCAGCAGTTTAATCACCCATCATTTGCTTATTTTGTTGATGTTGTGATTTGCACCTCGAGGCCACCTATTAAAATGAAGGGCTTGAGGAAATGCCTTATTTCCATCTTCCTCTTCTCGACCTTTTCTGCCAATTCTCTGTGGCCTCCCGTCGACTAAATTACCTTGCGAATAAGTGCCGGATCTTAAAATCAATAGTAAAATCAACACGACTCGGGAATGGGAATAATATGGCTGCTAATATGGCCCCTACTGCTCGTTAAAAGTGTGCATGTGATTAACCTTATTACAAGCAAGTCATTTCATGGATTACATCACATTATTACATCTCACCATTAAAGACTCACACCTGACAACCTTTTAGGACTTGACATGACAATGATGGACATCTTGTTAGAGAGGTAATTTTGGGAGACACATCCCAAAAAATAAAAATTCGCCCAATGTGTCAAACACCCATTCTGCTCACATGTACATCGAGACGACTAAAACAATGAGAGGAAGCCATGGAAATGAACAATTTAATGGCTGAGCTATTAGCGTCGCTTTGGCTGGCAATGTTCAAGATGGATCGCTTATCTGACTTTAATAGCTGGCACAGCAGCATTAGTGCCGAGCTGAAGCGAGGAGAACAATACGGCACATTAGAGGGGCCAGCCAGCACATGCCAGAAACTGCTCCAGACTCCTAATTAGCATTCATTAACAGTAAGGGAAAAGAGCGATTATGCTCTTTAAGTAGTGCATTAGCTCATGTTGCCGTTTCCGCGTGTCAGCAGATTTAAAGAGGGAGATTGTGCCGCCGCATCAGGGGAGACGACTTTGTGCTGACTGCGAGGTTATTGCTGCTGTTTGTGATGACCTTAAAATTCACCACCGCGCTTTGTTTACACGGTTTAGTACCGCTAACAAGGCCTCCGGCTGAGTCAAACAGGACTGTCTGTTGCTGTTGCCGCAGACTCTGAGACCGGGACGGGACTTTCCTTGGTGCTGCCGCATTTATAGCACAGCTACCACCTAGAATGGATCGTGATTACCGTATTTTCCGGACTATAAATCGCAGGGTTTTTTTATAGATCATTATAAATCACAGGTGTCAAAGTCAAGGCCCGGGGGCCAGATTTGGCCCGCCACATCATTTTATGTGGCCCGCAAAAGAAAATCAAGCATGTGAAGTTCAATGATGCTGAACCAAAATTTCAAATTGTCATATGTAATCCACAATAACAGTCATTATTCTTGACTTCTGATTTTCAAACTAGTTATTCATCAATTTGTTGTGCGCAGTGTATGTAATATGTGGAGGGGATTAAACATTTATAAGGTTCCCCAAAATTCATAATGGCCCTCCAAGGGAAAACAGAACTACAATGTGGCCCGCGACAAAAATAAGTTGGACACTCCTGTTGTAGATCATTGAGGAAAAGTTTTGAGATTATGTTTGAGTCATTTTTTTTCAAATCACAAAAACCTGTCATCGAAACAGGGGTGTGTAGACTTTTATATCAGATCGATCGATGGATAGATGAAAGAACATTCCAAGTCTAGTTGCACACCAACTGCTAATTTACTTGTGTTTTTATTTTTATCAATGTCATGTTGGTGCGGTACGGTCCTACGTCCATGCAACTGCAGGTTGAGTGGCCGGATGCTTTGAAACCACACTGACAACATTAAAAAAAAAAAAAAAAAAAAAAGAATAAAAAAGAGCAATATGATATTTGTATAGGCAAATATTTTCATGCAGCTCATCTTTAGAATGCATGCGTGCCTAATAAAGACAGGCAATTCCATGTATTTATTTTGCAGTCTTCAAAAACAAACCTTTTCCATCATAATTATCATCATCCATCATGAGAAGTAAAACATTGACACATCCAATGTTCAGCTGTTCACCGTCAGCAAACGGGAGTGACCGCAGGAACTCTCAAGATTAACAATCACTTCCTCTTGCAGAATATTTAAAAAAAAAAAAAAGAAAAGAAATGTCGGTGGGCTCAAAGGAAGTAAGCAAGATAAACGTAAGCAGGAATTGGTTCGCTTCCTTTTTTTATTATCTTGATTGTTGTTGCAGAAGCAGGCAGTCAAAGTTCACGAATACAGAGTGCCATTAACCACCTATTTTCTCTCTTTCTCTTTCTCTTTCTCTCTCTCTCTCTCTCTCTCTCTCTCTCTCACACTCACACACACACACACACACACACACACACACACACACACACACACACACACACACGCACGTACACACACTTTTACCTCAAAGCAACCCTGTGTGCTCAGCTAATATTGACTCTGCTGACTTACACTGCCTCTATTGAGTCAAACACAGAAGTGTTTGGCCAGAATTAGAACATCATTGAGACAACAGCCGTGGAGCTGCCCAGGCTGAGGACGAGGTGCTAATCGAAAGCAGAGCAAGGGAGCTGCATCCACTCAGTTGCTTTGTTTACATGCACTAAAAAAAAAAAAAAATGTTTTTAAAAAGTTAAAGTAAAAAAAATATATATATATATATATAAACGATTGCAATAAATTTGGGGCAATTTGGACAGACAATTCATATCTTCAAGAAGTCAAAGTCGTTAGCCTATTAGCATCTGAGTCATATTGACTCATTTGATTTAACATGATCAGAAAAGACAACTTGAACATCGTCGACAAAGCGCAAAGAGACGCCAAACTCAGCACCGGGATTCATTTGTGAGCATAAACGTAGTAAGTGATAGATTGTCAGCTTCACAGAGACTCTGGCAATTTGTGGTTCGTGTCTTTGCAGTGGAAACAAAGTACAGTGAAAGTCGCCAACGTGCGTGTGTGTGTGTGCAAAAGCATCATTAATCTCCGGTCTTCTAGAAATTCTTACCTTAGTCACAATAGCGATGACGATAACTGCTCCTTGCCAAACATAAAACAGACAAAGAAATACTCATTTGTGCATATTTAGTCCTTCTTGGGAGAAATTAAAAAAAAGACAAAGAGTTTACGATATTGCTGGCAAATTTACTGCCAAAGCATCTTTTCCTTTCTGGCTGGCTACCGTTAATTGCGCCTGCAGTTACTTTGCCGTCGACACTCGTCAGATTTTATAGGCTGCGTACGCAAGCTTAGCTCCTCGGGCCGTTTTTAAAGGCCCCAGCTTCCTCATTTGAAAACATAAACCTCGAATACAACTTTGCCTTCCAAACTACCACCTAGTTCAAGGGAAATATTTTTGGCATGCGCCGCTGATGGGAAACGAAGCGCCCAGAATAAAACGAAATGCAGTCATGGAAGAGTTGAATGTGAGCTTGGTGAGCCTTAAACTGGAAATGGAAGTTTTCTGAAAGGACACAAGACTACCCCCCGCCACCCCCCCACCACCATCAAACCTTTAACAGTTAGTAATGCGTATCATGAATTGTGCACGGAGGGCTAGATTTAACGAATCAATGCCACAACACAGCCTCCGTGTGTGTTGAACTGATACGGCTTGTTGAGTGGAGCCCCCCCCCCCAGGGAAGGAAATGACCACATTTTAAACCGCAAGAAGGAGGTTGAAGAGCACAGTGGAAGGCTGGTGGCAGCGCAGCAGCCTTTGCAGCTTAGGTGGTTTAGTTTTATCCCTACAGGCACTCTGAATGTTTTGAATGTCCCTGGGTTATGTATTCACTGGGTCATGTAAGTTAAACGAGCCGAGCATAGTGTAAATAGAAGAGAGGAAGAGACAAGGATGCAAATGCGGTCTGTGGTGGTGTCGGGAGGGATGACAAAGAGATGTCAGCCTTTTCCCACATTTTACTTTCAAATGAGCCTCAACTGACTGCGAAGGCCAACGACCTCATTTATTTAGTCAAAGATTCTATTATCGGCAACTCTTTAAAAGCCAAATGATTTATATGTATCCCTCAACACCTATTGTTCCTGAAACTTTTCATGCAAAAATAAGAAAAGCAATAATAATGTCACGGCGTCGCCAAATGCGCTCGTTAAAACGTCCAAACGGATTCATCTGCTATTCATGCGTTTGTCTCTATCCCACACATAGTACACCTCTTTCGATTTTGCTTTCTTTTCTGTTGAACTCAAACAGGGATGGGCAACTAGCAGCCCACAGCCCGCGGTTAATTTTTTTGTTCACGTTTCCTTTGGTTGAGCAGCCATAACTTGTAATACCGGGGTTCACCACAGGGTGGCAGAAACAGTGCCTCCTTGACCAAGAATGCAGTTGCACGTCAGAGAAGGAGAGTGTGTCTTGGCCTCTCGTCAAGACCAGTGGGTCAAGCCCCTTTCAGGTAAAATAGGAAGCAGATTATAATGCAAAGCTATCTGCCTCATTTGCTAAGAGACGCTATCAGTCATAAAAGAGAGTGTCTGATCTCAAAAGTACCGTATTTTCCGTACTATAAGGCACTTCGGAGTATAAGGCGCACCTTCAATGAGGGGCCTATTTTAAAACTGTTTTCACATATAGGGCACACTGCATTATAAGGTGCATAGAATAGAAGCTACAATAGTGGCTGTGGTTGCGTTAGGCATCCACTAGATGGTGCTACTCTACAGGAGAATACAATACAACACACTACATCTTTATTTATGCAGAGCCTTCACAACCGCTGCGGCTATAACAAAGCGCTTTACAGACCATTTAAAATACTACGTCCAAGAAATCAGAATATTGATCCATATAGAAGGCGCATGGATCAGAATATAAGGCGCACTGTCAACTTTTGATGAAATTTAACGCTTAGCGTGCGCCTTATCGTGCCTTATAGTGCAGATAATATGGAACACAAACAACGGCATTTCATTTCCCCACCAAAAAAGATTCGACCTTTGTTCAGGAAGAGTGGATCTTTTATAAATGCAACTGAGCATAAAAACCTATTATGATATTGTTCTGTACATTGGTTTAACTAAAAATAAAAAAAAATCAATAAAATCAGAAAACATGCACATATTTTGTCCCTATTCAAAATGCCATTTTGTGATACATCTGCTTAGGAAGTGCACAGTCCTATGTAGCTTCAAAAGCATAGCTGATGAAAAATCGTTGTTCAATTTGCCCCTCTCTGATCTACAATAAATAATTAATTTAACTTACTGTATGTTTGCAGGGCACCAGACTAGCCCTAAATTGTCGTTTCAGTCAATTTGTCATCTACTCGCATATGTGACCAGTAAATTTGCAATGTTCATGTTAAAATTGTGCATCATATTACAGTGCTTTATGATAATCTGAAATATACCATTTAGGAATGACCCCTCCCCCCCTCAAAAAAAAATTTGTCTCGTTTCCCATGAACACTTGGACCCACTATGCTACTATATTTTAATGTCAGTCGTTACAGTGGTTTGGGGATTTTATTTTCCAGCAAAGTGGCAGTGTCTTCGTTTGTTTGTATGATTCCGCAAAAGCCAAAAAGTGAAACTTTTCCCTAAAGGCTCAAATCCCATTTCCACGTTCACCTCGATGGAGGCCGCTACTCTTCACATTTCACATAATAAGCTTTTCTCACAAAGAAAACTCTTTCAAGGTTTCGATACTCCTCCACTTGTCACCTAGCAAGTGTCAATTGGAAGCTCTTTTGTGTTCTCGGCGAGGATTTCCTGGCATTTCGCTGCTTCCACAATGTTACAGCCGGTTTGATGTTAGCTATTTGAGGTGGCACGCAATCAAGCAGAAGTCAGATGAACAAAAGAGGGGGGGAAAAAAGAAAGAAGAACTGGCGAGGCGGACATGTTTGTCTGCTTATATTGAGGAAGAAAGAGTGGAGGGGCGTTGTCTGTTCTACATTTGAATACACTCAGTTCCTGTTCAAATACAGAGGGTGCTAGCCAAACAAGCTTATTCAAGGGGGGGTTCTTTCTGTGCGGACCGTGTTAGCTCAGCAAATCCAGCTCCACAAACACGCTTCAAAAGGATTCAGCCATCTCGGCACAGTGCTTGATGCGCGTATTGATCACGCTGCGGCCTGGGAGAAAACACGACCGCTCTGGTTCAAGCTCAGATCGACGAGAAAATAGCCAAAAACATGCCATCTGCCATTTGGCAGCATGACCGTTTTTTGGGGGGCCCGTAGGCGGATGCGATTAGTAGTAAACATCTCAAAACCCATTGATTCAAACTTGCATATTCAGCTTAAATCCATCTCTTCCTTTATTTCTAATTTTATCTATGGTTTTATTGCTTTGCTCTTGATTGTAAAGTGTCCTTGAGTGTTGTGAAAGGCGCTTATAAATAAAATGTATTCTTATTATTTTTTATTATGATTATTATTATGATTAAAAAGACAAGAGACCAGAAAATTGGATCAAGTCGCGATGAGGACAGGCTGCAGAGCTTTGTGTCATCCGCAACATAGGAAGCACAACAGAATTGAAAATTGGAATTCATTGCAAATGGCTGAAGCTGATGGATCGCAATTGGAATTCCATGAACATTTTGGGGAAAATGAGGATGATGATGTCACGGGCACGTGAGTTTGGGCGATTGGGGTGAGGGCGATTGGGGTTTGGGCGATTGGGGTTTTGGCGTTAGGGCGATTGGGGTTAGGGCGATTGGCGTTTGGTGTTTGGGCGATTGGGGTTTGGACGTTAGGGGTTTGGCGTGAGGGCGATTGGCGTTAGGGCGATTGGGGTTTGGGCGATTGGGGTTAGGGCGTTTGGGGTTTGGGCATTTAGGGTTAGGGCGATTGGGCTTTGGGCGTTTGGGGTTTGGGCGATCGGGGTTTGGGATTGGGAAAGCATGTAGCCTAACAGTGGGGTTTGAGGGGAAGGGCGCCAGGCACATTTTCCGACAAAACTATTAATTGGAAGGGTGGGGAAAATGACATACACAAATGAGATGAACACCACAGGTTAATTTTAAAGGGTTTTTATTGATTTTAGAAGCTTTCCCTGAAAATTAAGGACAATTCAGAGCATAATTTTACAACTTATTTTTTGATGGCTTTTTATTAACTTGAAGGACCCGTGGGAACCCTGTTTATGAGGGAAACAAGCGTGCAGTGTTCGAGGGGCTTCCAGGTGCCACATGTCCAATGGCAAGAAAAGGCAAAGTCAACAGAAAGGCAACACTTCCAGAATCACACAGTCAACTTGTAAGCGCCACAAAGACAAACAAAGGCAGTTCCTCTCCCAGCCACCCACGGCCCTGCTCCTGTCTCACACCGAGACCATCAGTCACAATGATTTCTCTGCCAGCTGTCCCGGTGTTTGCTTAAACTGGCCTCGCAGGCAGTTTCGGTCTCTTTTCAATTTTTTCCTCCACGTTACCCGCCGCGCGCTGCGTCGTTGCTATCCGAGGAAGCCAGAAACAGATTTATGCGCTCCTCAGGTGATGTTCAAATGCAAATGCTCAATGGGCATTAATCAAGTGGAGAAACTCGGCGTGAAAATAACACGCTCGGTGAATTACAAGACACCACGCATTAGGCATTCGGTGTTTTTGCTCCGGTCCTGTTCGCCAGAAACCTAATCTTTGCGGTGCACAAGGATGCTGTAATCTCAGACTTTCTACGCATACCTGCTCTTGTGTGATAAAAGGTGCTGGTTTATTATACCGAACGGCCATGTCTAATGAATCAAGTAACAACTTCTTAGTGCACCAGCTATAATTGCCGACCAATTACAAGTGCAATGTGCAAAGTACTGGAAAATAGTAGCAGTGTGGAAGACTTTATTTTTAAAGATGAGCTATTAGTGTGTGGATTTAAAGCCCAAGTATTGGTCTGACTTTATGTGGTTTTAATTTATAGTAAGTACAGTGAATAAAAAAAGTCGACACAAACCCTCTTCAAATGCCCGGTTTTGGCGATATTAAAAAAAAAAAGGGAGACCCAGGTAAATCATTCCAAAATGTTTTCCTTCATCAATTTACAACTTCATTTGATAATCCAAAATCTTTTCAAGAGGAAGTAAAAATAAACTGACATAAAATGGTTGCGTAAGTGTGCAAAGACTCATAACTATGCAAACTCATGTAAATGGAGTCAGCACACACTTGCCACCATTGAGAGCGACTCTGATTAACCCCAAATAAAGTTCTTCTGTTCTAAGTAGGAGTTTCCTGACCTTTTTCTTAATCATATCTTACAAGCACAGGCCGAGGGGAGGCTGCCAAGAGGCCAACACTGACGGAGCGAAAGGAATTTCTGGCAAATACTTTCTGTTTCGTACATGTCACAACTATCTCCCGTCCTCTTCATGTGTTGTACTCCATATGGAGTAGCATGGCAAGACGAACGCCTCA